TAACTCTACGCCTTAGCGGAGCGCTTTTCACTACCTAGTTAGAAGGCTCTTGCCCACTACTCCCAACGATAGTCCTACGCCAGTATTATTTGTTGTCTCTACAAATCCAAGCCCTCCTACGAACTCTTACGATCACTCACGCCCTCGACAAGTTCCCCTTACGACCAGTTCCCAGCCTGTTAACCTGAATTGTTAACTCCCCAACTCTACTCCTTTAGAGATTGGCTGCCCCGGTCACTAGACTGCTGGAAGACTCGCGTAAGCCTCATCGAGCATTCTCTGAGCCGCGTTACATAGTACTCATCCTTGATCCTTTGATTTCCCTAGAACTTTGGTTCTATTTCTCTCCGTTAGGCTATAGTTACTACTACCCTTGACCTCAGTAAGTATCCCAAGCCTGACAATCTGGCCCATTTAAAAATTTTATACTGTTCTTTCTTTTATTACACAATTACACCTTTTTTCTCATATATACACTCACAAATCACACAATATGGCTCAAGAACTGGATTCTATGGTCAATTTCACCCTTGGTCACCACTGGAGGCGTCACTGGAACTCAAGTGGATTGGATGCTACACTCTCTGGACCATCACTACACTCAATTACACAACTCACCACCATGGCAACACTTCCACACTCAACAACCTCAACAAATTACATAATTCACACTACACACATGCACGTTGCAGGACAACTACATACTCACATCATTATAGTACAGGTATACACAACTACACTATCTTTTGACACTTGACATATGTAGCTTCTAGGCTGGTCCTGTTGCTATGTCACTTTTTAATCTTCCTTGCAGCTGTCACACTATCTCACACCACTCATGTAATACTCATCACCTCACGTTAGCTTGCAGACTAGTACATCACCTCATGTAAAATGCTACACCAGCATAAAACCCTCATGTAGACTTCTGTTCAAACTAAAATAACTCTTATGACATCATGTAGGTTGCTCAACCAGCCAAAATACCTCATGTACATGTTCTGACTAGCTAAATCCCCTCATTGTAAAGCTCTGGCCAGCTAAAATCTCTCATTCTCCTGTTCCCCTGAAGCTAAAATCCCTCACCTTGTGTATTTAAGAGGCTCTCCTCTCAGTTGTTTTCCCCTCAGTTTAGTATCCACCTATTTCATACCCCCTACCCTTACAAACCCTTACATACCATTACATACCATCCCCTTACCATTGAAATATCAGCTAGACTCACTCTCTCACTCTCAAATCAACCTTTTAGACCCTTGTTAACTGGGTTAAACCCTTTGTCCACCTGTTAAGCCACAGTTATCTTTTGATACACTCCACTATCACTTTATTAAACTTTCCAATCTGAGATTGGTGGGCTTGTCTAGTGTCTAGTGATCCAGGAAAGGCAGAGTTATCCTCATTCATTCTCTTTCCACACTCAGCAAAAGGTTTTCACAAACACTTTTGAGCTTTACACCGGCCAGTGGGAGGGAGGCAACTCTC